AGTGAAATAGCTTCATGTGACTGTGTAACATACAGGAGTATAGAGCTAGTTCAGTTATCACAAGCTTTTACAAACTTAAGTCTGAGTAGGTGTGTGAGCTAAATGGCTCAGCATCAATGTATGTTTCCAATCAGGTGATCAGAGCAGTCAAAATTCAATTAATAAAAAATAACAACATATACTAATAATATGATAATTATATAGTTATTATATAAAATATTATAATTAAGCATGCTGCTTGCTAAGAGGACACCATTCATGTTTGTTGCTCTATTACAAGCACAAGCCTATCATATGGGTTAGATGCACACTTCCTTCTGCTCTGAGATAGTGGAACCTGGATGGATAAATGGCACTGCAGGCCAGAAGGAAAATATAGAAATTTGACTTGGACTTATATTGTCCATTTAAATATATTGTATCACAAGGAAAACAAACAGTTTAAAAAAAACCCACTTGATTACATACCTGTCGGTGCACTAAAGTTGTATCCAGAGCTGCTGACGTTCTCAAACACAGTAAAGAGGGTAAAATTGTAGTTTGTCCCAGCAGTCAGAGAAGAGACCACACATGTAACTGATGCACCTGATGTCGTGCATCCATCCATGTCATTCTTGCCAATAACAATACTACCGCTGTCATATTCTAGGATGTATGTTAGCATGTCGTTAACCTTCTCCCACATCAGAGTTATACTGTTCTCATTTTGTGTCACAGTCACATTCTGGACATTTTTTGGAGCTGAAAGAGGAAAAAGAATGATTTCGGAAGCATAAATAGATGTTACTTTTTCCTTTCAAGGCACTCATAGTGACAAAGCAACACACATATGTTAATAAATAAATGAAGCTCTGGTCTCATTTAGTCTGATTCAAATGCAGTTGCTGTGAATTATAAGGAGCTAAAGATGAAATAAAGACAATTTTACAAATTCTGATTCACAAATGACATCCTTAAGTAACCATTTTGGTTTCCTAAGTTTTAGTAAGGATGTATTCTGGGATGTTTTTAACCTTTTCCCACTGCAGTGTTATGCTCATCTCATTTTGATGCACCACAGTCACATTATTAACACTTTGTGGTGGTAAAGATAACAGCGGAAAGTGGCTTTGACAAAAAAAATCTCTCCATCAGCTAAAGTTTCAAGTACTAATGAGGCGTCCATCTGGGCTAATTTATCTATAATACAGAAAATATGTCTTACCACTATCAGTGACTGCGATGCAGTTTACTCCACTGCTTCTGACATTTCCAAACACAGTGAAGAGAGTGAAATTGTATCTGGTTCCACTGGTCAAATCTAACACTCTGTATTCTTTTTCACAATTACTAATGCTGATCTCTCTTTCATTAAAC